GTTTATTATTGACTTTTTCTCGTGATTACTTGTTTTCTTAATTATTTTAATTTTATTAGTTAATTAATTTGACAACCTTGCGTAGGCTGGATAAAAATCACAATTGTTAGGATTTGGTACTTAGGATTAAATAATTTGCGTATTCCCTGTGGGATCGACATCCGACTCTCACGAGTCTACTTTACTACTTGTTTGCGATACGTACACTTGCGTGTTGGTATTTAGCAGCCAACAGATGGCGGCAGCGGTGAAGGTGACGAAGGCGGCTCTACATCTCAACAACGACGAGGAAGACCTCCTTCTCTTTTTTCTCGAATTGGGAATCCGACTGGGGGCGCGAGCAAGGAGAGGATGAAGCCGGCTCCAGATCTCGACAACGACAAGGCGCCGCCGCCAAATCTAGGACGAACAGTGGCCTTTCCGGTCTCTCCCCCTTCCTTTCCGAGGGATGAGCAGATCTGCTGGTATTTTTTTTTTTTTTTTGTTCTTCGATTTTAGGAAGCATTCCTGCAATCGACCACCTCCACCACCGTTGTAATGGAATAGATTGACCTCGAGGAGTAGGTATTGTTTGGGAGGCTCGTTTGTTGAAATTGTGTTCGTGTTACTTAAAAAGATATAGTTGTTTTCGTTACGGTTGTAGTTGGTTTCAACAATAGTCGTTTTTGTAGGAATTTTTGTGTGTTTTTTTGCTTTTGTTTTTGTTGATTTCAATAATTTGTAGTTGATTCAATGTAGTTGTTTTCGTATAGCAATATATTTATTTTCGTACAACAATATTATTATTTTCATAACTTTTTAGTTGGCTTGAATAAATAGTTGATTTAACAAACAGTTGTTTGGAGATGTTTTGATTAAATAATTAGTTATTCTTACAATGGAAATAATATAATATATAATTAATTAATAAATAGTGAAACTGATGTATCATTGTTTTAATACCAATTCTTTTAATTACAATCGTTTAATAATAGTTGTTTTATTGATATATAGTTGTTTTAACTGGAAAGTAAAAAATATAGAAAATGAATATTTAGAGAAAAATATTAAAATATATATATATATATGTGTGTGTATATATATATATATATATATATATATATATATATATATATATATATTAAATTATTCTATTTTACAGAAGAAATAAATAAAAAAACGAAAATTAAAATAAAAATATAAAAAATAAAATAAAATGCATCAAAATAGTGGATAATTGGTAGTGAATAGTGGGAGAGTAAACTTGAGAATAAAAAAAGGATGGGTTTCTCACTAATAAAGAAAAAGGAGCTGGACCCATCCTTACTAAAATAATGTTAGAGGGGGTTCTCGCTAATATTAAAATTGGACTTTTGGTGGACCCATCACTACTAAAATAATGTTAGAGGGGGTTCTCGCTAATATTAAAATTGGACTTTTGGTGATATGACAAGCTATCATTTTCCTTTTGTTTGGTTAATAAGTACAGCTATCCCTTCTTTTAAATATTTTTATATAAAATTTTTATGTAATTTCGTTATTTATCGTACCAAATAGGATAATTAGTTCGGTAAGCGATATGAAACGTTGGCGTACCTAAATCGTATAAAAATAATGTAATTCCTTTTGGTATTATTATTATTATTATTATTATTATTATTATTATTATTATTATTATTATTATTATTATTATTATTATTATTATTATTATTATTATTATTATTATTATTATTATTATTATTATTATTATTATTATTATTATTATTATTATTATTATTATTATTATTATTATTATTATTATTATTATTATTATTATTATTATTATTATTATTATTATTATTATTATTATTATTATTATTATTATTATTATTATTATTATTATTATTATTATTATTATTATTATTATTATTATTATTATTATGATTATGATTATTATTATGATTATGATTATTATTATTATTATTATTATTATTATTATTATTATTATTATTATTATTATTATTATTATTATTATT